TGACAAGGGGCAGGCTTGCTTTCWAATTACTGAGAGAGTTCAGCRGGTGTCTTGGCTTCCCATGCCTTTTTACACCTCCCTTTCTTCATGAGTTCAATACTTTTCCCTGTGCCATTCCACATTATTACAAATAACTTCATTTCTGGACATTTATGGTTTGATTTCTTTGAATGTGTGGATCACTTGGGTTGTTACCGACAACTGGTGGAAATTTCATGTCATTAGCACCTCTTGTAATATATTTACTGAGAAAAATGGTTACGTGTTCAATACTTATTTTACCCACTGTATATATACATATACACACACACATACACACAAGTCCTTCTCAAAAAATTAGCATATTGTGATAAAGTTCATTATTTTCTGTAATGTACTGATAAACATTAAACTTTAATTTATTTTAGATTCATTGCACATCAACTGAAGTATTTCAAACCTTTTATTGTTTTAATATTGATGATTTTGGCAAAAAAGTAAAGAAAAATCAAAAATCCCTATCTCCAAAAATTGGCATATTTCATCCGACCAATAAAAGAAAAGTTTTTAATACAAAAAAAGTCAACCTTCCAATATTATGTTTAGTTATGCACTCAATACTTGGTCGGGAATCCTTTTGCAGAAATTGCTTCAATGCGGCGTGGCATGGAGGCAATCAGCCTGTGGCACTGCTGATGTMTAATGGAGCCCCAGGATGCTTCAATAGCGGCTTTAAGTTCATTCAGAGTGTTGGGTCTTGCGTCTCTCAACTTTCTCTTCACAATATCCCACTGATTCTCTCTGGGGTTCAGGTCAGGAGAGTTGGCAGGCCAATTGAGCACAGTAATACCATGGTCAGTGAACCATTTACCAGTGGTTTTGGCACTGTGAGCAGGTGCCAGGTCGTGCTGAAAAATGAAATCTTCATCTACATAGAGCTTTTCAGCAGATGGAAGCATGAAGTGCAAAATCTCCTGATAGCTGCATTGACCCTGGCCTTGATAAAACACAGTGGACCAACACCAGCAGCTGACATGGCACCCCAGACCATCACTGACTGACAACTCTTCTTGTTGTGCAGCGTTTTCTGCCACACTTTTTCCTTCCCACAGACTTCCCACTGAGGTGCCTTGATACAGCACTCTGGGAACAGCCTATTGGTTCAGAAATGTCTTTCTGTGTCTTACCCTCTTGCTTGAGGGTGTCAATGATGGCCTTCTGGACAGCAGTCAGGTCAGCAGTCTTACCCATGATTGTGGTTTTGAGTAATGAACCAGGCTGGGAGTTTTTAAAAGCCTCGGGAATCTTTTGCAGGTGTTTAGAGTTAAGTCGTTGATTCAGATGATTAGGTTAATAAGTCGTTTAGAGAACCTTTTCATGATATGCTAATTTTTTGAGATATGGATGGATTCTTGGTTTCTCTTTACTTTTTTGCCAAAATCATCAATATTAAAACAATAAAAGGCTTGAACTACTTCAGTTGCTGTGCAATGAATCTAAAATATATGAAAGTTTAATGTTTATCAGCACATTACAGAAAATAATGAACTTTATCACTATATGCTAATTTTTTTGAGGATATATATATATATATATATATATATATTAGTATAAATTTATACAATAAATAGTATAAATATACTGTTAAAATAGTTCTTGTTTTTTTTCTGCTCTTGGAGGAGTAAGACACTTTTCCCTCTCTCCTGCCCTCCCTTATCTTCCCTGCTTTGCTGCTCAGAGCCTCCTCTACGTTTTCATCTGAAACCAAAAATTATGGATATTTTTATTTTTATGGTTTTGGTTAGCTGGTCTCTTAATAAATTTTTGGAACAAAGTTTTTTCTTCCATGGGAGGACATGTCAAAGGTGGGACCTCTGTTCTTCTCCGTTCTGGATATGTATTTGAATTCCAATCACTGGATTCTACAGATTGGCTTTGGTGATCTCCTGGTGTTCTGCAAAATAGCGTTGGTGGCTATTCGGGCCATTTCCTGGCTGCCTGGCCACCATGAAGGACTGCCGTTCCATCAGCACTCATACTTTTGCCTTGAGCAAGCTGGAACTCGGTCTGCAAGCGGTTCTGCTGATGGTCACGGGCCGGCTGTGGTTCCTGGACTTTGCTGGCCAGATGGAATTAATCTGGGAGAAACTGATAGCTTGGCTCAGCGGGATTGTCCACATTATTTGTCTGATTGGATTTGCCACATTGGATGTACCAGTGGACATGAYGGCAGATGGAAAATTGTTATTGTCTGCCTGCCTGAAAACATTTTCTTCTGTTCCCAAATATATGATTACAAATTTGGTTCTCCCCTACAATGGCCTTGAGCTGTGGAACTAAATCTTTCTGGATGTATACGTTGACTGAGGGTCTGCCCCTCACCTCCCCTGGAGCAAGCTGAGGGCCACACAGAATGAACAGTTACCATCCATATTCTGAACTATGGCTGCACGGGTTTTTGAGGACTAGATTATTTGGGCTCATTTTTCAGATATTCACACAAGTGCATACAACATGGCTTCAGATACACACACCCCTAAACTCAGCTTACTCCTCTGGCTAATAAATGTGTTTTATGCAGAGGTTTTTTTTTTATAAACACCATAGTGTGTCACATTTATAATAATCATTAACATTTGTTGATATAATATGATGTTTTGTTTTTTACTCATCTTCCCTAGTGTGTTTTTTTGGTTTTTCTTTTAAGATGTTAAAGGTAGCGCAACTGTCTCTGTCTCTGTTGCTGCAAGACCTGTTCACTTGTTCCCCCATGTTTGTCATGTGTGTCTTCTTGAATGGGTGTTCTTAAATGTTTGTASAGCACCTTGTGAATTTATTTCTGTGAAAGGTGCTATATAACTAAAATTTTACTTACTTACTTGTTTTTACGAAAATACTTGAAGAACTAGTTGTGTGAGGGTTTGATTTATTTGTTTTACACTACAAAGTTAAAACACTTATTTTAACTGTTTACTTTTATTTTTAAGAAAATACTTGAACAGTACACTGTGTGCAGAGAGCTAAAAACACAATTATTATATTATTTTGTTAAACTGTGTATTTTTGTGATGAAGACAATACTTGAAGTACAGCATGTCAACCAGTTTTGGTCTATTGAGGTGCAGTAAGTACAACCCCTGGCAAAAAGTATGGAATCACCAGTCTTGGATGAGCACTCATTCAGATATTTCATTCTGTAAAACAAACTCAGATCAAAAACATGATACAATAATAAGGTCATTCCAAAGGGCAGCTTGTTGGTTTTCAGAAACACTCAAAGAAATGAAGAGAAAACATCGTGGAAGTGCTTAATCAGTAGGCCTTCTCCCTATGCCATCAAGATCTGCAGAAGCCCACTAATTAGGCACTCCTTAGGTTCAGCTGTGTTGAACCAGGGCAGCACCTAAAACATGCAGGACACCGGCCCTTGAGGACTGACTTTGGACACCACTGCAATAGTATCTTTGAATTTGAAATGAATTTGAAAACTGTGGGTGTGACATCATGTGCATAAGGTTATGGTCTTATGGAAATGGCAACAGGTGCATCATTTCTCAACATAGAATGAATACTCCGGCATAAAAGGGAGCAGGTGATATGCATTTTATATCGCAGAGTGCTTTGACTCAAATTATTGTAATGAATTTGTGAATTTATGTCATACCATGCCATACAGTATAAGACTCTTAAACCATAAAAAATGCCTACCTGCAGATGTTTCTCTGTAACGTCCCAGTTCTGTGCTGCTGAGATTCTCTGAGGTCACTTTTGATGCGTGACTCTCCAGAGGTTCAGGAACATCACTGCACTGCTCATGTGACTTTGTCGCACAGGTATTCGCAAAATCATTTCTAATGAGCTCCTTTAAGACCCTGTCAAGGGGTTCTTTCATTTCAAACTGAAAGTTGTGGTTCAGATCAGAGGGAGGGCTGTCACTTTCAGGGTCTGTAGCAGAAGACCTAGACTGTGGGTTGGATTCATTGCGTGTGTCCTCGGATGCTGACTCACAGTTAGGCTGATGCTCTGGCCACATGAGCTCAATGACATCTGTTGTTGAGATCGAGTTTGAGGCATCAGTATGGGAGGAAATACAGCTTACAAATGTATTTGTCATGTTCTCCGTGTGACATTCAATCCCTTCCATCTTCTCTTCCTCTGCTTCCTCATTCTCTTCTACCGACTTGTGAATGTCAAGCGCTGGCTTAGACGTGTGGTGCTGGAGTTGCTGCTGGGTTTTTTTCAGCATCTCCCCAGTCACGCTGGTGAGGAAAGACATGTTGCTCAAAGCAGCATCTTCATCTTGGTCATAATCTGGGGAAAGTTTGATCTTTTCAAAAGTGTCAAACTTCCTGAGCATGTAGTTGCAGAGAGTCAAAGCAGATGGCGGCAATCTGTTACTACATTTTAGTGCTGTGGAGTCGTACTGAGGGTTCTCTGAATGCTCTAGATATGGCTGACAAGGAACAACTGCATCATTTGCCGTTGGAAATTTTAAGAATACATCAGAGCTGAGCTGGTAATGAGAGAAACAACCAAGACTTTGTTCTGAGTCATCTCCACTACAAACGATGAATCTGCTCCCCTCCACCCATTCACTAATGCTTTTATCAGGTGACTCCACGCTTACATTGTTGTCTGGTTTCTTAATGCTCATGGATGTTGGATTCTTTTTATCATCCTCAAAAATTTCCCATATCTCTGAGTTTTTCAACTCACTGTTTCGTTTTTCTTTTCCACCATTTATTCTGTCTCTTTGCTCTGCTCCATCAGTCGTCACAACCATCATATGAATATCAGGTTTATCACTCAAAGTCTCAACCTTGTTTCCTTGTTCACCATCAGTGCACTTTAGATTGCTGTCACAGATGAACATGTGGTCACTCGTTTCACTGATCTTTAAAGGTTGTTTGAAACTCCATAGTTCATCAATTTGTTTTTCTTTTAGAAAATGTGCAGGTTTCTCGCCTTCTTTTATTCCAGCTGCCTCTGCTCCACTGTCAGCTTTGCCCAGTGAATGTTCAACCTTTGTCTCCATGTAGTCAGGGCTGACAGCAAAGTGGCTTGACTGATGTCCCATGGTATCAGGGGTTTGTTGTATTCCTTCAACCTCAGCAGGAGGGGGCTTGGTGGGACAACTGTTGGGACTTAACTGACAGTTTGCTTCACTGTCGGCTTGTGTTTCTTTGCTGGTCACTGAATAAGCCTGAGGTTCTGTATGTGACTGACGCCTGACCTGGTTTTCATCTTTGTTCTGCTGTGTTGTGCCTTGGAAGATCAACTCTTCACCCTGCAAAGTCCTGACATTAGAACAAAGTGGAAGAGCGATTTCTAGGTTGCAGATTTTTACTAATGGAGATAATTCTTGACCTGCAGTGTTACAGAGAATCCCTTCAACCTCCGCATCAGTTTCATTGCAGATTGTGGGGTCAATTACACTGAAAGCTTCAGAGTCATTATTTCCTTTAGCTGGCTCTTGACTGATTTTAGAAGTCTCAGACYAGCAACTATTAACTTCAAAACTCACATTTTCAGCTGCAATATTTGCATCTAACATCCTGGGTTTAGGAAGATTAGATCCCTCAGCACATGTAACAGCCGAGCAGAGAGCTTTGCTCAAGTCATTCTCATTCACTTTTGTTTTTACGTCACAGACAGAGAGATTTTCTTTTTTACAACACTGTGGTTCTGGCTTCTGCTTTTCATTTTTTCCATCTTCAGCCATATTCCCAGAGAGGTCCTCCTCAGGTTGTGAAGATATAGGACTTTTATCCTTTGCCTTGCTCAGAGGGACACTAGTACTGAAATCAGAATCCAATCTTTCCTGATTAGTCTCCATAACTTTAACCAGTTGGCAAAGGTCTTTGTGTTTTTCTGGATCTTTAGAGGAGCAATCACTCTGATTTGAACAGAAGGGAACTGCCTGGAGTTGACTGACATTACTTTGTGTTCCATCCTTATAATTTCCAGTGGAAAGACTGAAGCTGCCAGTAGTTTCAGCCTCACATGATTTCCCCACCTGCTTGCTGTTAGGTGGACTGGATGTGGTATTGTTGGTGGGAGGGGGGGACTCATCTGTATCCATTCTCAGATTAGGACTGAGTTTGTCTATTTCTGTAACTGAGGGTTTCACAGTGAGCTCTGCACTAACAAAACACACCTCATCTGATTCTTTAACAAAACAACTCTGTGAAGTAGTCAAATGAGTAAGATTTAAAGTATCATTCTGTGGTTTGTCTCGAGGGTTATTATTCCAAAAACGCCCACATTCTGCAATAAAGGCCAGGCTCTCTGAATTTTGCAGGTTACTTGATGACAGGCAACTTTTCTGAACTGTTGGAGGCTCTGAAGAGTCAAAGATGCTGTTCTCGGACAGGAATTTTTTTACAGTCCAATCAGTCCCCAGCCTTTTTGTGGTAAGTGGTGAAGAGAGCTTCAATTGTGGGCTGATATCTTCTTGTGTGACTTTATCCATTTTTTCCCCCTCAACAAATCCTAGAACCGAAACAGATTGAGAGTGTGAGCATTGCGTATGAAAGCTGAAATACTGTATAGAAAAGTTTCTACAGTCAAAAACAATCATGTGTATTTTATTTTTAGCTGATAATAATAGAAAAATCAACCAATGACAAGACTTTTCAAACTGAGATATTGCCCGTGAGGCAAGGTTTTTTAAAAAATAATAGTAACTTGGACCAGAAACAGAAAAAGAGGCTGTGAATATTATAACAACGAGCAATTTAATGACATTAAAATTACAAATGGTGATCTATCTATTATTTATATTAATAGTAGAAGACTTATTATCTAGAATAACAGATTATTTAAAACAGTTAAATAGAACCTTTAGTATAATAGCATTCTCAGAAACATGGCTTAATGATGATAACATAAATTATGTTCATATCGAGGGGTYTGAACTCTTACTCTTATGAAATCTTGTGAACAGAAAGAATAAAAGTGGTGGTGGGGTGGCTCTACTTATCAATAAGAAAATAAAATGTAAAATAATTAATAAAATGTCAATAATTGTAGATAATATTATGGAAATAACAACAACAGAATATATAAACAAGAATTCTAAAAATCATTAATAAGTTAAGCATATAGATCACCAGACTACTGATCAAATCATGGAGCAATTAGAAAAGACTTCTAACTAAACAGTTTTTGTGTGTGGAAACTTTAATATTGACCTGGGAAATAAAACTGACTCAAATAATATTAGTACATTTATAAATTCAATGTACACTTTAAATATTTATCAGTTAATATCAAAACCTACAAGAATCACAACTCATAGTGCTACAATAATTGATAATATTTTTACAAATATGACAGAGTGGTATTTTGATTATTGATTTAAACAATCACCAGTTTTCACAATATATAAAAACAATCAATGTAGCGCAAATGTAGTTGCAATCAAGAAAAAAAAACATTCAAAAAGCATTGGATAAATTAAAAGACGARTTAAAAAAACAAAACTGGAAATATGTTTATGATGATGATGTAAACAGAGCATATGATGTGTTTATAAATATTTAAGAAGATGTGTATAAAAAGAATTGTGTGCAAAAGAAGTATGCAAAGAGAGAAAACTGTTGACAATCCATGGATGACGAAAGGATTGAGAAATGCTTGTATGCTGCTTGAAATCGAGAACAAAACAAGCAGAAGAGAGATACAAGAAGTAAAAGAACACGTTTGGTATGGATTTTAAGAAAACCTTAAAAGGAATATTACAGTGATTTATTAAACAAACTCAATGGTGATGCGAGGGCATGGCGAATAATGAATAGTGTTCAGAAAAAATCTCAACGTAAATTCAGGAATTCCACAGTACTTTGTAAAGGATGACAATGAAACCCTAGCCTGGTTAAAACCAGACCCTTGTCCTTGTCCTTCCCTTTGCTTCATACAAGGGTCTGGACTCTCTGCTATTGAGAAGTGATTCCTTGCTGGAGGCGTGGACTCTGTTGAAGTTTAAAATGATTGGATCTGATTTACCCAATCGCTAACGGTTGGCAGCGACGTATGCAGTGCAACAGCTCCACTGAGAAGGCGGCTAGGCTGAGAAGCTAACTGGAAATTGCTTGCGCTTCAAACATTTAATAAGATATTTAATCTAATATGTGGGACACATGTTTCGCTTGTGAAACTGTACTTTTCCTTTTTAAAGTTTGTACCGATGTGTCCTTTGTGCATTTTCATTTCCAATGCTAACTAGTTAGCAAATATTGCTACTTAGCGATCCAGGATAAAAACAACACCCCCAGCTCTACATTTATTGTAATTAGTAATTAATGTTGACCATATTTGAGGCTAATCTTTTTTTTTGTTCAGAATCACCTTCGACAAGTGACCAGCTGAGCTCCTGGACCGCTTCTCCACCTTCTCTGACATCGATTGGTAATGGCTGCCTCGCTGTCCAAGAAGCCATGGGCTGGGCGGCTACAGGAGAGCTGCTCCTGTTATATTCAGACTTTAAAGTAGTTTTTTTTACATGTAGTTATATATTGTCTGACTTTTATTTTGTGCAATAAAGATACCATCAGCATTGTTGTTTGTTTTTCATTTAGTTAAGGGAAAACTCAACATATTTACTCACACTCACAGGCATAAAGTGTGCAGTAGCTAAGTTCACATACAGTATATAAGAAAATCATTTTGGTTTTGTTTTACTGCATTTAAAAGCAACGGTTTGCTGTAACAGTATTTACAGACTAAATATCAGACTTTTTTATGTCAATAATTAGCTGTAGCACAGAATGAACAATGTTAGCAGCTTTAGCGACCCACTTTTAAAAGACGTTACAGCACACAGAGCAGGGATACAAGTTACCGTGGAAAATCACCTAGAACCGAGTAGAGCAGCACTTAAACCCTTACTGAGAGGAGAGAAGTACCAAGCTGAACAAGATGGCTGTAAATGAGAATTGCATGCTTTGTGAGACAAATTTAATTTAATTTGAAAACCTTAACACAGACTGGCTTCATTCACTTTGTCCGCTGCGTTGTTTTAAAAAAAACTACAGATGGATAACTGCACAGAAAATCAACGTCGTTCAAAACTCCTCCTTCTGTTTTCTGATTTGCCTGATTGAAATGCTCCAGAAGAACCGTCATTTTTACCCAATATGCTTTGCGGTGCAAATAAAATGGCTCTATCCGTGTAACATATTTATAAACATTTGGTTTTAAAAAAATTATAAAAACTAAGCCTACAGTCTTTTACAGTCTTTATTTTACAGTTAAAGTAAATGTTTATCAAATACAGTCTAATGTTACAGGTAATCCTGAATCACTTTAAAACTAACATAAACTCATTTCACTCCTTGGTCCTAAACCTAATCCCCACCCGAAATTAAAAAAATCAAGACTATTTACAGCATCATGTCATATGCTTTAACTCTTTCTTTTGTGTTGATGACTAAACCTGTTTTCCACACCTTATCTTAGTTCCTCTGTACATGTAACTAAAAATCACACATGGGTGGGAGATCCTGGACCACAGTGCAGTTTCTGAGGTGGTGCAGAGTATTCTTGGGAAGGACAGCTGTGATCTCTGTCTTCTCAATCCATCTCAGACCCACTAGTGGCAACTCCTAACCACTTTAGAGACCTCTGGAGCAGTCTTAACTTTTTGGGAGAGTAAGAGGGATTCTTAGACTTAACAATTTTGATAATTTGCTTTTACATTTAAGTCTGAGACTAGGAGAAAATCTAAAAAGTTTTCAGCACTTAAGTCTAAAATTCCACTCTAAGAAGTTTGATAAATACGGGCCCAGATCCTCGCTGGAAAATAACATACTCATTGGTGTGGTTCTCAGCCTACTTACTCTATAGGCATTTTTCCATTACACGGTGCAGCACCACTCATTTCTACTCTACTCGGTTCTACTCAGGTGTAGGTGATTTTCCACTGTAACTAGTGTCCCCGCTCTGTGGGCGGTAACGTCTTTTAAAAGTGGGTGGTATAATTAAAATAGAAATGCTGAAGCTGCTGTTTATTGTTGCTCATTCTGTGCTACGGTTATCTATTGACATAAACAGAGTTGCACATAAGTGG